CACGAGACTCCTCTCCTGTTCCAGTGATGTCAGCCAGCACGGACCATGTTGGGATGTTCATGATCACGAACAGTCATCAAGCTACCTCTTTGGTTTGGGATTTTGAGAGGACAAGACTTCGAGGAAACCCTGCTGGAATGATTCCGTGCAGTCTATTTATATGAGACTCGGAGTCTTGGCCCCCTAACCTATACGATTTTGTCTGTCCTCAATGCGATACATGATGTGCGTCCACTGGAGTGGAGGATGACCACTGACATGACAATATAATGAACAACAACCTGATTGCATGGCTCGCGTAAGACAGGCGTCAGTGTGAAGGTCAGTATAATTCCGTGTTACACTTAATTGATTTTCTCGCGAGAATCTGATCATTCATATACTCATCGTTTTGGAAGACCAGGAGTCTTTCGTACTGCCTGCCTACTAGGGATTTGACGTGAGTGAGAGGCCAACTACCTCTATCTCTCCTGAAGGACCCTGTAGATCACATATGCAAAGGCTCTATCCCTATGATTCTGCTGTCATTCATATGACTTGGTGTATTCTCGTTGGGTGGGTTTGGGGTGACGGACTTGTTTCTTGCTCTCTGTTCAACATAAAGTGACGTATCTCACCTTACCAGACCCTGCAAATAAGAGAAGACAAGTGTTTCAGGCAAATGCCAGTAGTTTTGTCGAGTGGCATAGTATTCGCCAGGTACGAAAACCAAGTAACCGCGCAGGCCAACATGTCTTGTTCAGAGCATACACGATACGAGAGTGAAAAAGGGGCAGCGGTAAGACCGAGAAACAGTTCATGGACGCCATCTTGCTCGTCACGCCGCAGGCACGCCAATCGCAGGCCCCGGCTGCTCGACCCCGCCGCCGAGCCTCTTCAACTCCTCCTCCTTCCTCTTCTGCTGCACCTTGAGGCGGTGCGGCACACGAAACTCCCTCGGCGCCGTGATGCGCCAGCCGGGGAGGGACTCGGCCCCCAGGGCCCGCAGCGTGACCTGCTCGACGAGGCTGTAGGCGCAGTCGTCGCGGTCGAAGCGCTGCGGTGCGCGCAAGAAGATGGGCGGGTTCGTGATGACGCGCAGGCGGCGCAGGGGGTTCCGCGACGCGAGTGCAGCATGAGCGATGCAGGAAGACGTCGCCGACGGCGCCGTGCGCCTCGACGAAGCCGCTGTCCTCGCAGCCGCGCGCCATGTCGGCGAAGAAGCCGAGGCCCGTCTCCTGGGCGAAGTCGGCGTCGCCGCGGGGCACCATGTGCGGCGAGACGCCCTCGGGGTGGTCGTGCAGGTGGCGGGCGACCTTGGGTAGGGCGTCGGGGCAGATGCCTGGTGCCGCCGCCGCCGGGGACGATGTCCGAGTAGAGGGGGATCACGAGGAGGCCCTGCTCTGGCGAGTCGAGGTAGTGGACGAAGAAGTCGCCGTCGACGTGCCAGTTGTCGAGGTCCTGGGGACGGACGTGCTTGTCCTCGAACTCGGGGCTGCCCAGATTGACGATGAGCGAGTCGCGCCACTGGCGGCTCTCGGGGACGACTCGATCTCGCCGCGCAGAGCTCAGTGATGGCGGACCAGGCTTTCGGGGCGAAGACCTGGGCATCGAAACTGCGATGGGCGGGCATGTGGGTGCGTGCTTGCCATGATGACTTGTTGTTTGGGTCCATGCCGAGGCGGGACCAGAGGTCTTTGTTGACCCAGTCGGCCTGCTCCTGAGTAAAGCATTCTGTCACGCGAAGCCAACCATGGGCGCGAAAGTGTTCCTTCTGGGCGTCCGTGAGAGGTGCAGCGTGGGTGCGGGTCTCCGGGGAGGTCGGGGGATCGACGGAGGGTACCTTTTCGTCAGGCACGACCATGGTACCCGGATAATCGGTAGGTTGGGGGAGATACTGGGAAGACGAGTCTTCGCTCTTGAACGGATTCTCTTACACGGGGCGGCGTTGGCTTCTCCCGGCAGTGTTGTGGTGCAAGGGAATTGAAGCAATGCTGTTTACCACCATTCACAGTCTTTGAGCGGCAAGTATATACCAGGCCCACGTTGCGGGGAAGTCATGGCATGTCATTGTCGAGAAAAGGCGGCATGTTGCTATTAGCCGCCGCCCGATTTGATTCCAACGACCAATAACGCGGTTGTTGGGTCACACAGGCTGCCGACATGCCGACCATCACAGGAAGCTTCACTGCTAGGGCCAGGTTTGGAGGCAGGACCGCCCATGACAGCTCTTGAGACGACTAGGACGGCGAAATCGCTGCTTCAGAGGAGCTTCATGTCCTGAGTTTGCCGGTTAAATGAAAGCCACCCCACCCTCTCAAGTTAGTGCGGAGGTGTGCTAGACGGTGTGCCCGATAGTGGGTGGGATCTGGCACGCAGTGATTTGTTTCGTCAAGCACCAAGTGGTATACGGTACGTACGGTGCCCGAGGTGCAGAGGGGGCCGGACTTCCGCGAAATAGGACCAAGATTGGCGAGATCAAAACAGCACGTTCAGGTCTATACGACCCTGCAAGAGATTATGGTAGTGAGTTTCTAGAGGTCAGACAAGTTTGGTCGTTCTGAATGGTTTTATAAGTACCTACCGGAGGTAGGGCGATCTTATCCTGGCGTTCACCGACCCACACCGAATGCCTCGGTGTACATCTTCCATCGTGCATTTCGCGGTTTCTAGCACTACGCGCTCTCTTCTTCCTCCGACGCATACACCCCTGCCGACTGCTGCCACAAGACACCATGCCGCCCGACCCACGCCCACTAGACGAAGAAGACGACTACGAGTCCTCCCAGGATTCCGACTTTGCCCCCGAAGACGAGGCGGCCCTGGCACACGACGACTCGGGCGGTTCAGACGCAGACGATGCCGACGCAGCCACCAAGCGCAAGCGGCCCGCCGCCGCGGGCGACGAGGCCGAGGACGCGGGGTTCGAGAACTCGGGCGACGAGGCAATCGTAAAGAAGGGAAACAAGAAGAAGAAGCGCAGGAAAGAACAGAATGGCATCGCGGCGGACAATGACGGCGACGAAGAAGGCGGCGAGGGCGGCCTCGTCAAGACGAGGAGCATGCGCGCGCAAGAGTGTGTCTCCCCACCCAGCGAAGCTACGTGCACAAATAAAGAGGGAGGAGAAGAAGAAGAGGAAGAAGAAGAAGAAGGAGAAGGAGAAGGAGAGAAGGCGAAAAAGGGCTAACGAGAACGCAGGAAGGAAGAGAAGAAAGCCGCCGCCATTGCCGGCCCCGTCACCGTCGACGTCGACGCCCTCTGGGCGCAGATGCTGTCCGGCACGCCAGCGCCAGCCGCCCCCCGCGTCGAAGAGGCTGATGCCATGGACCTCGACACCCCGAGCGCGGCACCCCCGCCTTCCCGAAGCCGAGACGGACGACCCGTCAGCCATGATCCGCATCAAGCGCACCTACAACTTTGCCGGCAAGGTGCACACGGAGGAGAAGCTCGTGCCGCGCGACTCGGCCGAAGCGAAGCTTCACCTCGCTGCGCAGGGCGACGTGCTCCCGACGACGTCCGCCTCCGACGAGCAGGACGCGCCTCGCGTTCTGCCGCAGGGCGTTTCGGTCATCGTTTGAGCCCGTCGTCGACGTGCTGGCTCCCACGCGCAAGGATCTCAACCTCGGCGTGACGGTGCGGATCGCGCGGAATGCAC